ATCTGTTGTTAGGCAGACTAATCTAGAAATGCTGGCATACATTGATTGATAGTATTGTACATGTTTTCTCTAGCTTCAGTAATTTTTTAATGAATTACCAAGAAGCATATTAAGCATCCATCTATAATTATGAGTTTGTTTATATCTTGGTTGTGTATATTTTATTATTAGATGCAGAGATCAGTGCAAGTGAGAACAAAGAATATACTCATCTAAGGATGTAGTATAGTCAACACTGTACAACTGGGTTTTGTTAACATTTAGAAAAACTTCTAACAAAGTTAATTTTAAAAAATTATAAGTAACTAATATCAGGAGAAAAGAGAAAATAAAACTTCAGCTGTGTTTGATTAAAGAGGTTTTAAAAAGCTACAGCTGGAGCTGGGAAGGTGGCTCAGTGGAAAGAGCATTTGTGGCACAAACATGAGGACCCGAGTTCAAATCCCCAGAACAAACATAAGAAGCCAGTTGTGGCCACGCCCACTTACAAGCTACGTGCTGTGGGGACAGAGCCAGAATTGCTGAGGCTATTATCTGCCATCCTAGCTTCAGGTTCCATGAGAGAACTTTCTCAGGAGAATAAGGTTGAAAATAATGCCTCAGAACACCTGGCCTCGGTGCACAGGTGTGTATACATGTACTTACAGAAACATTTATGCCACACTTACACTACACACACACACAAATTAAATAATCAGTCAATAAATAAAGGCATACTTACATCTTTATATCAATCAGTTTGAAAATACCTAACTTTAAATTCCTAAAAAAGAAAAAAATCCTGTAATTTATCTAATCTGATTCAAGAACAAAAACAAAATCTGAAAAGTCTTGAGCAGTAAGTTAAAAAATATGTTTTCAGCAAGAAATACGACACAGCTGGGTAGGGGAATTCTACCAGACTTTTGGTAAATAATTCAATCCCAACAAATAGACTATGGAGCAAGAGAAAAGAGAACATTTATCCAGTTACTTCCTTGAGTCAAAAGTAATCTTGAAAACAAGACTACAGTATATAATGTATTATATATAAAATTTAAATTAAAAACTTAATCTTATGAACACAGCAATGTAATGACAAACTATTGAAAGACTGGATCCAACAATGTATTTTTAAGATTTATATTGACCAGTGTGGCTTGTCCAAGAAATTTAGAAAGAAGTAGAACCTTAGGAAAGTTCAGAATTTCATTTACCACACTGAAAGAGAAAATTCTGAAAAGTAGAGCGCATTTGAGAAATTCAGTCACAGCTGATATAAACTAATACAGAAAGAGCAGTCTGGGACCACCACGGTCTACACAGCAGGACTTGGGAGATGACTCCTAATGGGAAAAAGATGAAAAGAATTCTCTGGCTTCAGGGAAAAGTATGCCAACCCTACACTTCTCAGCCTTGTGTCTGTCTGAGTTCCTGTCTTCAGCTGTGGTCCAACACTGTGACCAGGAGTGCCTTGCAGAAGGAAGGTTCCAGGAAGTAGAGTCCTAATGGCAGGGAGGCATGGCTCAGGCCTCTGGAGCAGGAGCCCCAAGGTCACTTCCACTTCCACACACAGGAAGAGAGAGCAAACTAGAAGTAGGCCAGGGTTCTGCTCAGAGCCCACCCCAGTGACATTCTTCCTCCACCAAGGTTGCATCGTCTCCCCAAATAGCACCAACAACTGGGGATCAAGAACTCTAATACTTGAGCCTATGGAGAACTTGCCTCATACTGGAAACAAGAAAATAAAAAGAATTATTAGTGTGTTAGGCAAAAATCAATGTTTCTCAGAAAGAATACTGCTGCCTATGTAGTACTCAGAAAATATAGAGTCAGATTTTTAGGAGTGTTTTTATTCGGTGGCTGCGTGGAAGGGAAGTAAATAAAGATAAGTTGTGTTTCCATTGCTGGAAAAATGTGTTCATAGCATTTGTTTTAACAACAAATGAAGCTGAATCTATGAACAGAAAGGGATAAAAATTGAAAGATATTTTAAAAGACCTACATAGGGTCAGTGTTCTTGGTATGTTAGTGTTTGTAGATATTTCTGTATTTACGTACACCCTGCTTGCCGATCCGAAGACGCATATACTATTGGCCTATCAGCCTGACCCGTGGGAGCAGTGTGACAGAGTGAAAATGCCTGCAGAGCTTTGAAATGAAAAGCGGAACTTCTGGGCTGCTCACAAAAGTTCTGGCACCGCTGAAAGAGGCGGCTTGGTGTAAGCCTGAGTTCCATCCCCAGATCCCAAGGGAGACGAGGGAGAAACAGCTCTCTAAAGTGACCTCTGACTGCAATCCTCGGCCATGACACACCATGGTGTGCCGTGTCATTTGTTAATCTAACCTTTTATGCTAAAAATTTTGAGAAAAGCAGAACTTTGAATTTCTAAGGAAAGATAAAGATTAAAGAGTAGTTGGGGCCCTTTAAAGGGAGAAATGGCTATTAGTTAGCAATTTAATCCTTATATCTTAAAAAATACTTGATTCCGGGTAAATTAAGGGTCAAGTATCAAAAACATTACTTTGGGAATTAGAGTGAAATGTAGGAGGTGGATTTCCGAGCGGGAAAGGTTTGAGAAAGGTGCAGAAGTTCTAACTAGAAAGCTCGCAAAGCTAGGAGATGGTTGGAACACAGGTGACTGACGGGATCACGATCGTTGCGCACTCGCCCACAGAAAGCCGGAGCACCGCTCAGTAGTAGAGAACCTGGCCAGCGTAAGCCTCAGTGCTTCCAAAAGCAGAGGAAAACCAGGAAGAAGTGTTAGATAAACATGAAGTAATTCTTAGTTCTACTGATGGTCAAGAAATGAAAACTAAGACCCCAGTTAAGCACCCTTTACGGCCATGATAGACTCAGAACTAGGTCATGTACCTCCCTCAAAGAGCCCTTTTGATCCACGGTAAGTGTAGGTTGGTAAGTGTGTAGGAAACAGTATAGAATTCTCTTGGGGTTTGACCATCTGCCTGTCCTGTCACCCAGCATGTCTCTTGATCACAGAAACTGTGTTTTATAAAGTTTTACTCTTTTAGCTCTTTTTGGGGCCTGCCACCCAGCTCCCAAATTAACCACACACACAGGCTTATTCTTAGTTATGAATGTCCGGCCTTAGCTTGGCTTGTTTCTTGCCAGCTGTTCTTAAATTATCCTGACTACTTTTTGTCTCTGCGCTTTTATCTTTCTCTATTTCTGTATACCTTTCTTTACTCCTGACTCCATGACTGGCTGGGCGGCTGGGCGGCTGGGTGGCTGGGCGGCTGGGCGGCTGCCCCACAGTCCGCCTCTCCTTGTTCTCTTGCTCTCCTCTTTCTTGTTCTCCTTCTGTTTATCCTCTCTTCCTGCCAGCCCGCCTCTCCTCGCTCCTGCCTTGCTATTGGCCGTTCAGCTCTTCATTAGACCATCAGGTGTTTTAGACAGGCAAAGAATCACAGCTTCTCAGAGTTCAGAAAATGCAACATAAACAAAAGCAACACGCATAAAATAATATTCCCGCACAACTCTGCACATGTTTGTGCATAGGGCATTAGAGCAGGAAGCCATTCCGGTGCCCATCTGGATAAAAGGGCACATGCGCTGGAGGGAATTCTCAGTGTCATTTAATGTCCAGTGAAGACAGTGAGTGAGACAGAAATACATAGCGCCGCATGGATGAATTGGAGTCTGTGTGTGGCAGAGGCAACAATTGGAAGAGGTAACTTTTTCCTTTAAAACTGTTTAAACAACTGAGTGGCCATCTGGAAAGATAGTAAGTTGGATAAACATTTTATGTCTGGTTAAATTTTGAATGAATCAAAGATTTCCATGTGAAAATTAAATTTAAAATTTTCTTGGGGAGAAAAACACAGTAAAATCTTGGAGTAAAGGTAGCCTTTCTAAACTATAGCCAGAAACCCAGAAGTCATTGTAGATAAATGAAAAAACCAAATTCTGCAGGAATAAGAACCCGTGTCACATGAGGCACTGGGACTCAAAAGTAGCCTGCATGCTGAGTTACCTGTCTGTGGAGTCTCAACTCAGGAAGTACTTTTTGCAGAAAACATGACAAAGACCTCAGGAACGTTAACAGAATGAGACAACTGAAGGTCTGAAGAAGAAGAAGAAGAAGAATTCAAAATACTACAGATATGCAACAGAAGTCAGTGCTGTTCTTAAGTGGGAAATGCAGACAGAAGCTGGTGCTCACCTCTCCCATCAATACAGGGCCCTAGGGCTCTGCCTCCCAGCTGCTAGGAAAAGGGCGCATTCATGTCTCTGGCAGAATGTCACCACAGTCATGTGAAAAGCAGCATAGTAGTATGTACCAAGTGAAAAGAATGTACATCCCTTGCATTCCATGTCCACCTCTGAACCGTGCATACGTGCTCACACAGTAAGGTCACACCTGTGTACAGCTTTTTATCCCATTTAGGCAATAAGAGCAATAAAATATTGGGAAGAGGTATTCATTAATAAGAGTTCTGTGAAGGAAAGGACGGACAGCCACCCCAGGAAACACTATGCGGCTATTGACTAGGTGACAAGGATGCTTTCCTCAGGCCAACAGAGAAAGTCCTCAAGGCACACTGTTTCCCATAGTGAAACAAACACTGATTCGTATAAAGTCTTGTTTTTTAAAAGATGATAGTATAATTTCATATCGATAGTCGCTTATATAAATCATAAAGATATGATGAAAAACTATATAGGAAACTAAAAGTAGTGTTTACTTATAGAGAGGAGGGTGGGAAGGTAACTTTGCTCTTTTAAGTATGCATATTGGTTCAAAGAAGTTAAACAGAACAAAATAGGGACACAAGTGCCACTCTGCTCGCACTCCAGTGACCTTGGACAAGGACACAGGCTCTCGGAACAAAGTGTTCTTGTCAGTAGAAAGTTGTATTTAGTAGAGCCCAGCTTGTAGAACTGTCTCAAGGATCCACGAGAACACTGAGTGGCTAGCTGAGCGCCAGCACTTCTGACTCAATGGCAGCACTGAATGCGTGGTCCAGGGGACTCTGCTTAGCCCACTGGTGTTTTGCAGAATCAGACATCGTGGGTCCTTTCCAGCATGGCAGCCCTCTACTGGAGAGTGAAAGGCCAGGGGAAGAAAGCCATCGACTGCCTGCGCCAGGCCCTACACTACGCCCCCCACCAGATGAAGGTGAGCGAGGGGTGAGGGAGTATCTGTGTGTGCTCCTCTCTGGTGGCCAGTGGCTTCATGCTGTTTCAGTTAGGCGTCCACATGCTCAGAAGGTGGCGCACAGAGGTCACAGTGGGAGAGGTGGCCTGTGGCTAGCCCCACCTCACAGAGTTGGAGCATTAAGGTCAATAACCGAAAAGAAATGCGCGGTCCTGACCCTGGATGTATAGACTGGCAACAACCCTGAGAGTAATAGGACAAGCAAGTCACTGGTAAACAAGAGGTATATAAGGACCAGAGAACAGAAAATATATAACCTTGAAACTAAATCTAAAAGACTGTCTGTCTTAATTACTTTTCTATTGCTGTGAAGAGACATCATGATCAAAAAAAACTTACAGAATAGTTTATTAGGGTTCACAACTTCAGAGGGTTACCATGATCACCACAGCAAGGACAGGCAAGCAGAGAATAGCAGAGAGCTTACATCCTGGTTCTCATCAGGCAAAGAGAAAAGAGACTGAGGCTGATGTGGGCCCACCCCCAGTGACAGACTTCCTCTAACAAGGCCACACCTCTTAACAGTTCAACCAACTGGGACCAAGAACCCAAGAATATGAGCCTATGAGGTCATTCACTCAAACCACCACACTGTGATAGTGAAAAATATATATTTAGTGGACATTCCATAGCCAGGTACGCAATTCTTAAAATGATTGAATCTCCATAGTGATTGTGAGTTTTAAACTAATGAGTTGATTAATATGGTGGCACTTCCATAGCTTCAGGATGGAGACCGTGTATCAAAAAGAACAAAAGAGGTTTTCAAGTGTGTTATGGTTGGGATTTCTGCTTTCTAAAAAATAGATAAAACCATAAAAACCTTTTATCAGACTGAAGAAAGCTTATTGGTAAATAATATTTGTTTTCTTCTCATGTTTTTTTCTCATTTTTGTTTTTTATTTTTAATTGGACAATATTTTAAGAGAAATTTCCAAATAAATAGAAAGCAGGAAGAAAGAAATAGGAAAGGGAGGAGAAATGGAAAACCTTGCATAGAAGGACCCTGGGTCCCACCTCACATTTAAATTTAAATTCATTGCAACATTGGTCACTATGACAGAATTGATTTAATACAAAAATTCTACCTGACATGTAAAGTATATACCCTGAAATAAACAAATGGAATTAGTTCTGTGGAGCGTATATGCACCAAGCATACTTTTTAAGTTAATCATAAAATCCATTTTTGTGAAAATGTATTGCCATATATTTATCATTTCTAAATGTTATCCTTGTCCTCATTTTGTGTGCCTTGCAAATAATATCTAATTTAAAATATTGGCCGAATGCAATAAAGTAGTGCAAAGTTTGGGTTAAAAAAAAAAAAAGAAAAGAAAGGTCTGAGATCGTGGTGACAGTCTGTCACCTCACACCTTCCTGTACTGGAGAGCCACTTCACATACAAGGTATCCTCTGGCTGGGAGTCTCTCTGGGGTTTGACCAGCTCCCAAGTGCTTGACTTGCAATCGCTTTGTGCATTATTAGCAAATTCTTTTCTCCTCCTCTGTGCACAGCATGCTGCTGTAGCTCTTCTCACAGCCCCGGTGTTGGCACGGGCTGAGAGTATGACTGAGGATAATGTACACTCCCAGTTCACATTAGTCTAGGTGCCCTGCCTTGTACAGACCCAGCTCTGTGTGTTTGTCACGTGGTGCCCAGGCTGGCGGAAGAGAGCCACTTCACCAAGGGCAGCTCTGGGTTCCAAGCACAGCTGTGCTTTGCACTGACGTTCTGACCTGGGCTCAGATATTGAACACTGCTCTCATCTGCCCATTGAGGACAGAGATGTGTCCCTTTTTGTTGTTTGTCCATGTCTCCCATAGGACCCAGCACAGTGTGTGACAACCATGCTCAGATGGCATGCTTAAAGGGAAGAGATCTGTGGGAATTGGCTAGTGTTCTGTTCTTCTGTGTTTCACACTGTGGGCCGCAGACAAGGCAGACAGTAGGGCATTGTGCTGTGCCCGCCAGAGAGTCTCTGCACACCTGTGGTCTTGCCTGTGGTGTGGACTGCCACAACAGTTAGGGGGAAGTTCCTTCCAATCACCACAGAAACAAGTGGCTGACTGGACCTGGCCTGTGGGCACATTTGCCAGCTGCTACAAGTGACACACACATTCCTGCACAGAATCAAGGCTGTAGCTCAGAAGAGCGTGTACAAGCGCACTCTGGAGCACACTCTGATGTCACCGCTCAGTGCGGGCTGTGGCTGTGTCCTGGTGTCTGTCTGTGGACTTTCCATTCACCGTCTGCAGTGACAGAGAGCACGCTCCCGTGGAAGTCACTCAGCGCTCACTTCTGTTTGCTGTTGTCTTCGCTTTCAGAAGTAGGCCTGTAGATCAATATAAGAGCATTAATAATGCTTATTATTATCATTATTAGTATTAATATTAAATCCTTTCATGGAAGGCTTTCTCAGTGACAGGGTTTTGTTGGGTTTCCTTTTGGTGCAAGCTCCTATTTTGCTCTTCGCTTAGAGACCAGTAGCAAACAGCAGCCTGGCTCTGTGTCCCTCCTTGTCACACTCTGTCATCTCCCGGGAACAGGGCTGTATTCTGCAGCACAAAACACAAAAATCCAGAGGCACATATTGGGGTTCAAACTGAAGATCAGAAAAGCAAAGCAATCAAGCCACTAGAGAGCGACTTCCTGTCTCATCCCACCGTACATTCCTCACTAGTGCTGGGATTAAAGGCGTGCACCACTGCCCAGCTTTTATGACTAAATAGTGTGGCTGCTGGGATTAAAGGTGTCCGCCACCATTGCCTGGCCTGTATAGTTGACTAGTGTGGCGAACTGTGCACTCTGATCTTGAGGCAACCTTTATCTATTAGATCATAAACAAAGTATCACTGGAGTATTCTTCATGTTCACAAAGTCAGGAGAGAAGCTCAGTTCCCCTCTCTTTCTCCTCCTTCCCCAGGATGTGCCCCTCATCAGCCTGGCCAACATCCTGCACAACGCCAAGCTCTGGAATGATGCTGTCATCGTGGCCACCATGGCTGTGGAGATCGCACCACACTTCGCTGTGAACCACTTCACTCTGGGCAATGTCTACGTGGCAATGGTGAGGCTGGGGTGTGAGCCAGCTCAGGTTTGATACAGAGGACACCTTGGCTCCAGAGCTGTTTTAGAATATGTCACTGTGCTCCAGCTTCCCAGAAGTTTTATGTCCAAAATTACCAGCTACATCAAAATAAAGTTTATCCACAGGGGTTTGAGGGGTTGGGTTGGGTTCTTGTTTTTTTTTTGGGGGGGGGGGGGCGACTGGATTTTTTGCAATTTTATTTTAGATTGTATTTTATGTATATGACTATTTTGCCTGCATGTGTGTATATGTACCATGTGCTTGCCTAGTTCACATGGAGATCGGTAGAGGGCATCAGATCCTTGGGAACAGACAGTTGTGAGCCATCAGATGGGTGCTGCGAAACAAACCCAGTCCTCTGGAAGAGAAGCCAGTGTTCCTAATTGTGCATCTATCTCTCTGAGCCCATGGTTGCATTTCCTTAAATAGTACACGTTATGTATAATCTAAGCATTTACAACTCCATGTTCTTCACCATTGGTTTTTTAGCACAGTGGCATTAGCCCTATAATCTAAAACACTTGAAATGACTCAAGTGTTCGTTTCCCCCTCTGAGCCCCTTGAAACAGAGTTGCTCTTTTTCATGTGTAGAGCGGATTTGGTGCCCAGCAAATAAACACTCGCTGATGAAATCCAGTAGCTTTGCAGCTACTTTTCACCAGAGAGAATGAAAATGCCGCCCTCCAGTTTCCTCATCTAGTCAGAAAGAGGTCTGACTTTACGAGTGTGTGTGTATGTGTGTGCATGTGTGTGGTGTTGGGGAGCAAACCCAGAGTCCTCACACATGCTAAACAAGTAGTTTCTCATTGGGCTCTGCAGCCCCAGCCTTGATTTCAAAACTTAAAATGTCAGACGTTCTACCAAATCTGTCATAACCATATATAACATGGGAACCAGGCCATCTGCTTTCATTAGAAGGAGAGGGCGAGGGAGCAGTTCCATGCTGCTCTCCTAACAGATAATAGAATGAGCGGCTCTGGGCTGGAAGCTGTGCGTGGGTCATCCCTGACTTTTGATGTATTAGTGTCTGTCCAGGAGGGTACCATCCCTGAGTGAGGTGTTGCCTGCCTCTGGCCAGGCTGGTGTCATCTCTGACTTCTGAGGTATGACATATCTGACCAGGCTGGCATTGACAAATGTGTAACCTTCTTCTTGCTTCTTAAAACTGGACTGTTTTTATCCCAGTAAATGTGAAGTTGCTGCAGTGAATGAGCAAGTATGTCTCACTGAGCGAGACAGCCAGTGAGACCTCCTGGTCTCCCCGTGTGGAACTGCGCTCAGTGTAACAGTGCTCACTTCTAGACATCTTAAGTGTTTTGGAAAATACAAAGTTCTAACTTATACAGTGGCAAGAGATGCCTGAGTTCAGCTCCGTCTTGCCAGGCATGCTAGAAAAAATCAAAGCAGATGCACAGTGAGCATTTGCCAGGCCTCAGTCCCAAGGCTTCGGAGCCTAAGGAAGGAACATCATAAGGCACCAGCACCATGCCAGGCACATCTCAGGGCTTAGTGGTGGTGGCTCTTAGGGGCCACTGCCACTCCAGACCAATACAGGCCAGTTTTCTGCTTTCTATTTGGTCTGTGGGCACAGCCACTGCTTGCTTTGTGGCTGTGCCTTAGGGACAGGCCACTGTCTCCTCCCACACCTCAGCTCTCTTTAGACTTAAGGCCACTGCAAAGTCATGGTGGGTTGTCACTGGTCACAGCGTGTGTAATCACAGTGTTCCTTGTCCTCACAGGAGGAGTTTGAGAAGGCCCTGGTGTGGTATGAGTCGACACTGAAGCTACAGCCAGAGTTCGTGCCTGCCAAGAACCGGATCCAGACCATCCAGTGCCACCTGATGCTGAAGAAGGGCCGGCGCTCCCCCTAGGGCATGCCTCCCTTCCCCAGCTCTCCCAGCCACAGTCAGAGCAGAGCCCCATTGCCGGTACCCACGTGAATGGTGTGTGTGAATAACAGGACTTGGCCTGCAGAGCTGGCTTTGCTTGGTTCTTAAGTTCCTCCTCCCCTCAGAAGAGGCATCTTCAGAAACGGGGTTTCCCAGACACTGTAAATACTGAGCCAAGACAGCCGGAGCTCTGCTCTGTCTTCAAAACCTCCATGCCTTCAAGGCTCCTCTGTGGTCCAGCCTCGTCCCTGGAGAGGCTCGAGCCACACTGCCCATTCTCTGCTTCCTGTGTAGCCTCTCTTGTCCCTGGAACTGCAATGCCACCTGGGGCCGGTCAGTGAGAAGCAGGGATTCCTGTTGTCCCCACCTGCTCTGGGCCCTGCCCCAGTCCCGTCCATTCCACGCTGCTATGTTACAAGCGCTCAGAGATCGTTTGCAGGGCAGGAAGGGGAAACAATTTTACAAACAAAATATTTACAACAGCAGAAACTCTTAGGGTCATCTGACCTTTGTAAGTTATTTATGTTGGGGTGGGAGGGGGGCTGAGCAGGGGAGTCAGCCGTGTGCAACATCTTTATCATTTGTATTTTAATTGCAGATCACAAGGATACCAATACATTGAAATCCTATATAACAGGTTTATATATATAGATATGTGTATTTGAAGCCCTCTACAGACTGACTCTGCGTTACTAACTCCTTGTTCGCTGTGTTCCCCATCTTGGACTAGGCGTAACTGTCAGCCCTCTCCCTGACGCTGGCACACCAGCTCCTCAGAGGAGAGCCTGGAGCCAGGGTTGGGTGTCCCATACAGTGCCCTCACCTTTGGTCCCTGGAGAATCAGAAACTCCAACATTTTGAAACATTTAAGGGCACATACCGAAAACAAAAATAAAAAATTGTTTATGAGCAAAATTGCTCCGTGGTGTAGTTTTTCCTTCAGATATGGGCTAATTTGGACTCTCTGATGACTGTGCCTCTGGTTGCCTGAGTTCTGGGTCATCTCACAGCATCAAGATGAGGAATGAAACCATCTATCGCCGCTGTACAAACCCAGAGCTTGAAACTTTGACCAGAAAGCTGCAGCGTCAGCAGAGCTCGCCGTGCGACTGGGCTTCTTGGAAAGGAAGCATCGTTTGTTAAGGCAGAGTCACGACTCCTCGACCCGTCAGATGAGCCCTGAGCCTCTTGTCTGCCCAGGAAACACATCCCAGGACAAAGTGAGGCCAGGATGGAATGGGGCCCACCAAGGGCAGCAGTCTACAGAGTTTTCCAGAACACGTCAGGCCATCCCTAACGATGGCTCGCTGCAGGTAGTCCAGTGAGTGGCATTTGCAAAGCAGCAGGCTCTTTGGTGACTGGATGTGGCAAGGCTGTGCTCAGGAGGACCCTCCAGTATATGTGGAAGTGAGGTCCTACCTCCCTACCTCACCACAGTCTGACAGTTTTCCAGAAACCTTCAGCAAATGCTTGTTGGCTTTTGAAACTTACAACAAAGTTTCTGGTATATACTTGAGCTCCCACGGGGGTGTAGAGTCCTGCAGCCGTGATAGCAGTCAGAATCTAAAGCTTCCACCATGGGCTGGGGGTTGTGGCTCTGTGGCAGTGCTTGCCTTGCATTTATGAGGCCCTGGGTTTGATCCCTCATATCACAATAAAAAGTAACAATGAGTTTCCTACCACACACAAAGGCCTCTCCCACTGATGCTCTTCAGCCCAACCACCTCCGCCATTAACCGTTGACAGCCGCTGGCCTCCCGTCTGCCCCTGCAGCTGCGCATTCCCATCGTGTCAGAAACAGAATCACACAGTGCGTGCATCTCATTCTGAGGCTACCTTTTTCTACTACCCAGGTTGCCAGCTCCTCAAGGTCTTCTCTTTTGTGCCCACTTAATCCTGCTGGTTTTCTAGGGCACTCTTTACTAGATGTCATGTGAGAACAGTTACCACACTGAAGTGTTCCCTGCCAGATGCCCAGCTCCTTAGTCTAATCAATATCTGTACCCTCTGTTCTCACAACAGGCCCAGAACTTAGTAATTGCTCAAAACTATTGAATTTGTGTTGAAATGACCAAACAATAAAACTGCAGAAGACTATAGTGTACCAGCCTTTTTCTTTTAGGCCACCAACCAGCTCCCAAATCATGACACAGAGACTCATTATTAGTTATGAATGCTTGGCCTTAGCTTGGGCCTATTTCTTACTAGCTCTTATAACTTAGCCTGTTTCTCTTCGTCTATGTTTTGCCTCAGGTTTTTTTGGGTTTGTTTTTTTTTTTTTTTTTACCTTTTTTCCTTCTGTATTATCTTACTTTTACTGCTTCTCCTGTCTGGTTGGCTGGTGGGTGCCTGTTCTGTCCGCAGGCTTGTCCCTCTCTTTCTCCCTTGTTCTCTCCTCCTCTCAAGCCTAGATTTCACCTACTTATTCTCTCTGCCCACCAGCCCTACCTATCCCTCTTTTGCCTAGCTACTGGCCATTCAGTTTTTTTATTAGACCAGTCAGGTGCCTTAGGCAGGCAAGGTGAAACAGCAGCAAGTCTTTACATAGCTAAACAAATGCATCACAGACAAATGTAACACATTGCTACATCATTAGCAAAGGTAACACACCTTCACATAGTTAAAGTGATATCCCACAGCATAAACAAATGGAACACATTGCTACATCATTAGCAAAGGTAACACACCTTCACATAGTTAAAGTGATATCCCACAGCATAAACAAATGGAACACATCTTTGCCTATTTAAAATAATATTCCACAACACTATAATGACATCAGGGAGAAGAGACACCAGGGAACAGGAGATAGAAAGGATAGGGGAGTCTAAATCATCAAGAACAGCAAAGGCCTGGGAAAGCTGCTGGCCATGCGCAGCTCCTGACTCCGCTAAGCCCTTGGAATAAATACAGCCATGTATTAAGCTATCAATAGGTGTGAGCTCTTCTTGTTAACATAGGCCTTCACTCTCCAACTAGGCTTTCCCCCAGTTCTGGAAATAAAAACAATTGCCTCCCTAGTAATCTTTATTCTGAAGTGTGACTGTTTAACACAGAAACTGTAACATGGAAGGTAGGAAATGCACTCCTGGGGAAGTGTTTAACAATTTCAAGTTGATGGATTTCTTTCATTCTATTTTCAAATTTACTAACTCAACTGTATCTAATCTACCATTTTAACCCACCTGTGATTTTCATTTCACATCACCTTTTGCACTGAAAAGATTTCCAGATAGTTCTTTGTGCTATATCCACTAGACTGTGTTATATAATCTCTCATTTTGTGGGGCCTGATCTTCCTTTTGGCCACTTGAACAGTTTCGGCGTCCTTATGTTTCAAATTGGCCTGTTTCTTCTCCATTAGGTATGAGTTCTTCTCGTGTTTGTTGAATACAGGTTATATAAGATAAAACTCAAAAAAGAAAAGAATCTGTCCAAATTGGCTTGCTTCCTTGACCCATTACTCTCCCTCTTATTCCTCCCAAGACATATGTGCTGACAGTAGTAAAGCACCCTCTCATGTTCTGCCTCAGGAACATGTTTTTGCTGCTTCCTTCGCCTGCAATACTCATCTAAATAACTACATGGCTCATCCCATGTTTTATTTCTGTGTGATCCCTCTACATCATATATAATTTTGGATAAGGAATTGATACATGTGATTGTGGGCATCTAGAAGCCCCATGATCTTTTCTCTGCCAGCTAGAAAGAGCTGGATGTCACCGAGTCCCAGTAGGGTGACTGAAAAGCCAAGGATTAGGAGCACTGAGGGCAGGTAGACCTCCATTCCAGCTCAGTAAGGCAGAAAGGATTCAGCCTCCCTCCACTCTGTTCTGTGCAGTCCTCCACATACAAGATGAGGTCCACCTTCATGGGAGCAGCCACTACTTTAGTGTTACTTGGTTCATGTGCAATACCTCAGAGACATAGAACATATAAGCTATGTATCTGAACAGCCTTGGTCTTTATGATGGTTAGTTGTCCACTGGACACAATCTAGGATCTACTGGGAAGAGAGTCTAGATGAAGAGTTGTCTACATTAGGTTGCCTGTTGGCATGACTAAGGGATTTTCTTAGTTATATTTATTGAGGTGAGAAGACCCACCATGAACGTGGGCAGTACCATTTCACAGTCTTGGCTCTGGACTGAATGCCAAGGAGAGAGCAAGACGTGCCCCAGCGTGCATGCATTGTTCTCTGCTCTTGGCTATGCATGTGATGTGCTGAGCTTCTTGACATTCCTGCCACCTTGGCTTTTCCACAATCATGTCCTGAAACTGTGAACACAACCTTTCTCCTTTAAGTTGCTTTTTTAGAGTGTTCATCACAGCAGCAGGAACAAAACTAAGTCCCTGTCAAGACGATCCGTAAAATTATCTATCCTCAAAACCCTGTTGAAATGAAGTCCCAGTGGGACACTTAGCACACGCTAGCCTCATAAAAAATGCCTGTGAAGAGCTGGAGTATTGATAGCTAAGTTCTTTCCAAGAGTTTCTAGTCTGAGTCTAGAGTCTGACTCCACAGCCATTCCCCATTACAATCAGGTACCCAGAGCAACTTCCATGGAGCTAGGCAATTGGATAGGCTAAGGGATCAATGCACTTCTGCCTGTTGTTCTCCAAATCCTGCAAGGCCAACTGGGCACAAGGCTGAGGATCTGAGAACCAAGCTCTCTGCCCTTGGCAACTGTATATTTAGGCACAGTGGTGCTCATGGTCAGGGGGCCTTAGGTAGGCTTAGGCACCAAAGTGTTCACGGCTACTAGCTAGCTGCACAGGAGGCATAAGTTCGAAATGAGAGGACAGTGCTGTCCAGCTAACCACATCTGCCTGTTGACATTTGCACATAAGTTCATTAAATTTTACTTACAATTCTCCTTTCTCTATACTGGACTCGTTCCACAGGTTAGCATGGTGTTAGACAATGAATTTCACCCATCTCCAAAAGCACTCTAACACCAGTGGAGGCATACTGACAGATGCCCACTTAAAAGGCCAGAGCAGAGCCCTTGATGCCAACTACTCTCAACTTCTTAGGAAACAGCCACTGCTCCTCTCTCCAGACTGCACAAAACTCAAGAGTTCTGGAAGACTCTGGCTGTGAGATGGACCAGACTCTGGCCCTTCTGGCTAAGGAAGCACAGGCAGGTTGTGCTGAAGGTCGTGCCATGGCCTCCCACAGCTCCCAAAAGAACAGCGCCTCTGAATGTACGTGTGTGTCTCCTGTGTGTCCTACCCTTCAAGTCTACTCACCTACCAGCTATAGGTGCCAAATATGGCTGCCATATGACCAAGGCTACAGACCATACAAGATTCCCCCAGGGAAGGGATGCCAAAGCTCATTGGCACAGGAAACCAGTGTCCAGGAGCGGCTCTCTGCCACAACACCTTTGAGATCACTGAGACAGGTGTTTTTCTCTCAGAATCTCTCCCACACGGGGTTCAGCTTTGGAGGCCACAGGATTGATAGTTACCCTATCCCTGTTGAGCAGGGTTTGCCTGCATGTATGTCTGTGAACCATGTGTATTCCTGGTGCCCATGGAGGCCAAAGAACTAGAACTGGAGTTCTAGACAGATGCGAGCCCCCATATGAGTCTCTGCAAGAGCAGCAAGGTCTCTTAAGCACCGAGCAGTCTCTCCATCCTTCTGTCCCTACAGCATCATCATTTTATTTTGAGAGACTTGCTATACATGGAAGGTATTTGCTTATATCTTCCCCTCCCCCAACTCTAAACCCCAGTTCTACCCCCTTCCCTACCCACCCAACTTTGTATAATTTTATTTTCTACGCTTTTAAGACGAAGTTGTGCTGCCCAAATACTCTTGGATGCACTGGAGCGTGGTCACCTCACCAGAGGCTGTGCTCCTGGAGAAGCTGACTTTTCATTGTCCAGCAGCTGACAAACAGCTGCACAGCTGAGGGTGGACTCTCACGCCTCACTCTGCCTTTCATGCGGACACTCAGTCTGGCTTGAGCTAGTTCAGGTCCTGTGCCCTGCTGCATCCAGAAGACAGCTTCCTTGTAGTCACGCACAGCCTCTGGCCCTCATCTTTCTGTCCACTCTTCCACAATAATCCCTGAGTCTTGGTGTGGGGGTGCAGTATGTGTGTTCATTCCTCAGTCTTCTACTTTCTGTATCTTCACCAGTTATGGGTCTCTATGTTGGTCATCAACTAATACAAAGACATTAGGTGTCAGTTTAATGCTGTGTTCACTTAACAGCATAAAGGACATGTGTGAATTCTTAGTCTTCTTCTGGAACAGCCTAAGCCCACCTGAAAGAGTTATGCATGCCAGACACAGTAGCATGCAGAGTTTGAGAAGACTGTTCCTTCCTTTTTCAAGTGGGGCAGGCTCTGGGTGTAGCTCAGCTGGTAGAGTGCTTGTCTAGCATGCGTGAAGCCAGCCCTGCCCGCTGTTGCCTGTACAGCATAAACCAGGTATAGTGGAACACTGCTGTAATCCAAGCACACAGGAGGCAGGGCCAGCCTTGTCTGCCTGGGAGATAAGGAGCCTTGTCTGTGGTGATGAAGGAGGAGGAGGAAGATGATGATGCTAATAATGGTTCTGATAAGATGGCTCAGGGAATGAAAGTACTTGTGGTGCTGGTCCCCAGAACCCAAAGTGGAAGGGGAGAACTGACTCCTGCAAGTTTTCCTTTGCCCTTTGCACGGTGGCGCATGTCTGAGCACTCTCCTGCTCGCTTGCTCCCTTTCTACATCAATAGATAAGCAAAGAAACTCAGTTCTTCCTGGGTGAGTTTGCAGAAGGAATGGCCAGAAGACTGGGCTTAGAATCCTGAGAGAGAGCAAGGAAACGTGAGAAGAGTCCAGCCTGGCTGCGGTGGGAGAAGAGCAGGAGCGGTTCTGGTGGGAGGGGCCCTCATTAACCCAGTGTTGCAAGCGGGAGGGGTGCATGCTCTAGACAGAGCCCTCTGGCAGACAGCGAAAAGGAGCCACTGCCATCTTCCACCCTCTGGATAATATGATTGCACTGATGCAGGTCTATTAGAGAGTG